GACCCTCGTAATGCAGCGACTCCTCCGAGTGGTGCCCGTCCTCGTCCCAGCCCTCCGTCACCCGCAGCTTCACACCCGGCCACTGGTTCATGACGGAGATGGCTAGGGAGTTCAAGCGGTCCTTGCAGCGCTGTGGGGCAGAGGGGCAGAGTCAGTAAAAGCTTTTTGGAGGGGGGGTTAGCTGCCTGGTTGGCAGGTTGTATCCCACCATGCTTTCACAAAGCCTCTCTGGGTCCCCAGAGCCTTTGGAGACTGATCCAGCAGTGGAAGATCCGAGAACATGAGGTGCCTTGTCCATCCCGTGCCCTCCAGACTCCATGCAGTGCCCGATACCCCCTTGTATGACACAGCATCTCCCAGTGTGTGCACCCCAACAGGGTACCCATCTCTCCCTCCATCTCTCCCCCACTTCCCGGCTCATTGAAGAGCCTGTTGGGCAGCAGAGCCTTGGTCAGAGTAAAATGCCCTCTCTGCTCCCAGGACACCTCCCCTGCACTAGCACTGCCCCAGGGGGTTTCAGCTCACAGGAGGAGGGTGCGGGAGCTGAGACCCTGCTGCCTCCTGGCTGGGAGGATCTCCCAGAGTCCCCAGCACTGTCCCCAGGCACAAAGGAAACAACCTGCCCAGTCCTCAGCATAGCTCTGCTTGGTATCACTCCTCAAGTCCTGAGGCACAAGGACGCAGCGCTGGGCAGCCTTATAGCTTCATCCAGCCTCTGCTCATGTGGCAAATGCCAAACCCACTCAAAAGCCCTGTTGTGCTGGAGCAGAAGTGATGTGGGGTGAAGCCCCCTCCACCTCTCCCTGCCACAAGGGCTGAAAAGCCAGGACTGAGGAACAGCAGCAGATCCCAAAAGCCCCAGACCTGGCAGCCGCAGAGGTCACACAAGCAAGGCAACTGCCCTGCCTCATCCCCCCCATGCCGCGGTCCTCCCCAGCAAGCAGGGGGATGCCAGCCCCGAATGCCTTCACTGCAGCCCTCCCAGCCTCGGCCTGCGCTGCCCGCTTCCTCCAGCCACAGCTGCATCTCAGGGAGGGACCGAGCCCCTGTGCGCTTGGCTTGCAAAAGTACAGCCCGCACTTGTGGTCCCTTCCCCTGCTGCAAAAAGGATGGAGGAGAGCTAGAGAAGGCGTGGGAAAAGGAATACGGGAGCTTCTACACAAAATGAGGTGAATGGACTGTGAATGTGCAGCCTGGAAAGGAGATGCTGGGGGGTCCCAGGGAGCATTATAAAATCAGGGTGAAGGACGGACTATTCAGGCCAGTCCTGGGAGGCATTAAATGAAACAACTGGGCAGCAGCCTAAAAACCAGCCACCACGGGGGGCGTTTTTGCATGATGCCCAGCTCAGCGCTGGAACTCCCCACCATGCGATGTTGTGGGTTGTGAGACACAGTCACGGTAAGCATGAGCCAGGGCTATAAAACCCGACGCTGGCTACACCCCTGGGCTCAGAAATGCCCCAGCACTGGTTCTGCAGCAAGCTGCCCTCCAAAAATGTGGGCCCTCACCCTATCCCCAAGCACCTGCTCCTGTCCAGGGGAGATGGGCGCTGCTGCTCTCGGTGAAACCCGCTCGTGCTTGGCAGGGTCCGGGCCCTGGGAAGGGCAGTGCCAGGCAGGCCTTTGCCCCTCATGGGGCGGAGGAGCACCTCTGCCCTTGTCCCACGGCTCCCTGGGTGTGGGAAGATAAGCCAGGAAGGTGTTGGACAAACAGTCGCCAGGTAAGGGGAGGAGGAGGAGGGAGGGGAGCGACTTTTGTCCCCGTCCAACACCACCGTGGTGCCACTTGGCACATGGCACAAGCAGCTCCCAAGGTCCCCGGCCCCACGGGGACCCTGCAGAGAAGGGCAGCAAGGCGGTTCGGGGCTGGAGGCAGGCAGGGGCCCCCCAATGCCCCCCTGCATCCTCGAGGCCGTCACTCCAGGCGTCCCCTTGCCACTGCCACACCAGCACCCTGCTCTGGGCACCCCTCCTGCCCTCACTGACAGCCCTTCTGTCCCCCGGGGGCACCCTGCCCGCACACAAACACCGAGACCCTCCAACCCCTGTCCCCCCGCCGGGGACACCGCCTGCCACCAGCCCCTGGGGCAGGGCCACCCTTTCCTAGCGGGACCCGCCTGGGCTGCCTTGTCCCCTGCATGTGCCT